GCCCTTTTTTTCTCCCTTTTAGTGGTATGGCCCCTGATTTTTTATCAATATACTCACCTAACTTCCAACAATTATTTTCACAAAAGCCTCTAAACAATTATAATATGAAAAGTGTATAATACAATCAATTATGACAACACTATGTAAAACAACACTATGTATTCCACTCCACATGAAACTAATTAGAGAAACTGCTTGTTACACATTGAAGAGTATACATACACAGTCAATCAGAACATAATTATCTTACTACAAAAAATGCACGTTAACATCACAAAACGTCCAAACAGTAACACTCTCAAAATAACTCAAAATCCATAATGTTTCCATCCTCTTACTATTATACCCTCCTCTCCCTAGAATCTCAGCCTCCACCGTGTTGGGCCACTCCGACGACATTCACCCCCTTCAAAGAACTCACGCATATATACTAAAACAAATGGTGTCACAAAAACTTTCAAAGAACTCACGCATATATACTAAAACAAATGGTGTCACAAAAACTTCTCTCTTGCGGTAGGATATAGATATAAGAGATTATTATATATACTAAAACAAATGGTGTCACAAAAACTTCTCTCTTGCGGTAGGATATAGATATAAGAGATTATTATTAAAGAAACTTGGAATTTCTTACCTATTTAAAATATCGTGATCAGTTCATTCAGACTCAAGGAAGTTATTGGGATAAATATACTTCAAATTTCTTGGTATGAAAACTAAGACTTACCATAGACTTGTAAGCAAATTGATAATCCTCCTCCTTCTCTTTAAAATTTTCAATATAAACTACTCTCTTATATGACCTACGCATCCAATCTTGAAATTAAGTTTTAATAGGTTTCACAAGAATCTCTAGGGGTTCATAATAGTCTCAAAAGTGCCAATTGAATTAATGTACATGTACGTTACAATTTGCTGGGTGGTGTAGAGCTTGACGTTATTGCTATACATCAAATGCATTGACTATTGAATGATGTTAATTGGACTTCAGTATTTTATTGGACATGGAGAAAGGTTTAGTTGGAGTAAGTTGAGTAAAAACTGTATAATAATATTTAGGTGACAAAAAAAGTAAGATAAATGTACATCCCTCAAAGATAATTAATGTACATCTTCTACTAACTATAATATATAGTTTACTAATATATATAGATATGTATAAAGTTTCTTAATATATAAATATTGAAGTCTAGTACAAAAAAAATATGTAACTATTAATAGTTTTACTGTAGTTTATAAAATATATCTAACTATAGTAAATAATAGTTATAATATTATAGTCTTAAATCCTTTAACTGTAATTAACGTGATATGATTTAATAAGATTGGGGGTTATGAGAAGAATTTGAAAGTTATATTTAATGTTAGAAGTTATTGGATGAATATTATGAGTGTGTGGTTAAATGAAAAATTAATGGTCATAAAGATGGTGGTTATGAAAAATTGAGTATGAATGTGTCATCATGTATGTATGAATGGATGAATGTGTAGTCAACAGTGACGTTATGAAAAATTAAGTATTTGTGTGTCTCATGTATGCATGGATTGATGTGTTGGAGGGTATATTAGGGAGAAATGTTTTAACATAGCAACCCACTTTTATAATAGTATTAGATTGTGGTGTTCTATGGGGCAATTAAGTGACATATATCGTAATCATCAAGTTTGAGAAACAAAATATAGTAGGCTCTCTCAGGATCAAAGAGCTTATTACCAAAACATTGAGACGGATGTGTTAAGTTCATAGACGATCAAGGAAGTCTAGTAGGTCACATGGCAAAGCCGTATCGCTTACTGTGAGGAAACCTGGATTCGATTCCCATGTGCACCAAAGACATGATAGTTATGATTGTTGGTGGTGTTGTTATATGTGCCAATGACATATTTTCCTCAAAAAGATCATACACAATCAGGATCACACTAGAAAAAAAAATAGTGAAGGATTCTGGTAAAGAAAAAAAAAGGGAAGACAAAAGATTTCAGAGAAGACTTTGCAACCTAACAGCAGACCAACATTCCTCGTTCCAAGTATTTCGATTAGGACAGTGAAAACGAGAGTAATCTGACTGAACCAAATGGTTGAAAACATTTAGCCTTACTGTAAATGGTTATTACCTCCTTAATAGAGTATGATCATTTTCAAGGGCCACTAGTAAAAAATTAAGTATTCTAGACGGAACATTCTAGACGGAATTTTTTCCGTCTAGAATGTATTAAACTAGACGGAAATTTTCCGTCTAGAATATTCCGTCTAGAATAAAACATTCTAGACAAAAAAATCCGTCTAGAATAGTATCCTAGACTGTTCCTTTATTTTTTATTTTTTTGAAAAATAATCAGGTATTCTAGACGGAAATTTCCGTCTAGAATACATTCTAGACGGATATTTCCGTCTAGAATAACTGAGCATTTAAAAAAAATAAACCCGTCAAAACTTTACCGCCCTCCTTTCCCCCCAAAATCGGAATTTTCACCCCTAAAATCTAAATTTTCAGTAACACCCCGCCTCATCCCCCAAATCTTCAACTCCAAGCTCCTACTCCCTCCACCGCCTCCCCCTCCTCTCCCTCTCCCTCCTCAACCTCACCCCCTGAACCCTCCCTCCACGGCCTCCACCACCTCTCCCGCCTCGTCAAAACCCCTCCCTTCAACCCCTGAACCCTCCCTCCACGGCCTCCACCACCTCTCCCGCCTCGTCAAAACCCCTCCCTTCAACCCCAAATCCTCTGTCGTATCGACCCCGACCTTATCTCCTCCCTCTATCGATCTCCGCTCGAAACCCTCCCTGGCCGAGAACTCGAGGACGATCATGGAGCTCTCGTCGTCGGGGACCCTCTCGAGGACGATCATGGATTTTTTTTAGGAGGTTAGGGTCATCAGTTTTCATATTTCTGATTTCATTCTTGAATTTTTGTGCACCAATTTGTTCCTTTGTTTGCTTTCATGTTGGAGTAAAACTTTTGGAGATGCATAGGGCTTTAAGGTTGTGTTTGTCTTGTTTAGGCTCAGAAATTTGATCTTTATTTGTAGTAGATCTATGAATTTGATTGAATTAGTAACAATTTCGGATTTTAGTAGTTTTTAAATTTGTGGATTGTTTTTGTTAGCATCAACTTTGGATATTGTATATGTATGGCCTGGAATTATTTTCAGGGTGGTGAACTTTGTTCTCTGCGATATGACTTGACTGTCCCATTTGCACGATACCTTGCAATGAACAATATCAGTGCGTTGAAGAGGTACCAAATAGCTAAAGTGTACAGAAGAGATAATCCATCAAAAGGGAGGTTTTGTGAATTCTACCAGTGTGACTTTGATATCGCTGGTCACTATGAAATAATGGAACCTGATTTTGAGGTTATTAAAGTTCTGACTGGACTATTGAATGACCTCAATATAGGTGATTTTGAGGTACTCTTTGCATCAATTACTGTTCTATTGCCTTTTATGGAACACATGAATAAAACTTTGATATACAAAAAGCTTTCATTTGCACGTTTGTTGATATATTTTCTGTCTTGTATAGATGCAGTTGTTTGAACATTCCTGAATTATGCCCTGATTGTTCGCAAAATCCTTTTGTTACTGCAGATAAAGCTGAAACACCGAAAGTTTCTGGATGCGATGTTGGAGATATGTGGTGTGCCTTCTGAAAAATTCAGAACAGTGTGTTCTAGTATTGACAAATTGGATAAGCAATCATTAGAGGAAATAAAAAAGGAACTGGTAAGAAAGTTCATTTTGCATCTAATTAACCCACGAAGTAAAATCTTCAAATACTGATATTTGGTATTTTGTCACAATGAGCCATGATAGGAATCAGAGCATTGTGGTGTTGATATTTGGTAGGTCAGGATCTGGGCTTGGCTCCAGAATAGGTATAGAGATAAAAGTGAGACCAGGGGTTTAGGCTAACACTAAGAACAAACTATGTTTTAGCTTTAGTTATTCACAATTCAATATCATCTTAGTATCTCGTTTTCCCCTATAAAGGAATTTCGTCTCACTTCTTTTGACAAGTGACTTGTAATATGAGTTTTGATCTGAGGTGCCTGCAGACTTGTACAACGCATCAAGATTTAAATATGGTAGATACCTTAGTCTATCTTTTCTTTTTCTGCAACCTTTCCTTGTAGATATGAACTCTGCTACAATGGGGAGAGGTCTGTCAATATTGGAACAGAGGTAGCATCTGCTCAAGCATCAGAATTAGTGAGGAAGAGCCAACATCATAGTTCGCATGTACAAAATGGTGATAGAAATTATGTAGAACGCGAGAATGGAGTTGATGTATTCCGGTTGTCTCGTTGCAAGAAGATCCTTCCAGAATAAATTATGCTTTCCACTGGCATCCCCTTACGTGTGGAGGACTTGGGAGGTACTTATTCAGTTCTCCTTGTCTAAACAAACTAAATTTTCTTTTCTGCTTATTAAAATCTTTTAACGGATATCAACACCAAATATCAATACCAAATATCAACACCACAATACTCTCTTAATTTAACTTGGTATTTTGTCATTCTCCCAACAACAAATAGAGTCCAAAGTTTCTTTCCATCATATTAACTAACTGATTTCTTTATTTACGTACACATATACACGAGCACCATGATTTACCTCAAAGAAAAATGACAGCAAAGAGGAGTAGTATATGCTTCTATCAAGTGAACCCACACATATCTAAAAATTGGCTACTTCCTGGAAATAATTTATATACATATAGTACTTGGTTTAGTGGCTTTTTCTTGTTCTAATTAGTCCTCAACTATTGGTATCTCTTTTTATATATATGCATTGCTTGTGTCCTTATGGATCAGTTTGTACATATATTGATCAGTTTGTACATATATTGATGCATTGTTTGTGTCTTTATGTTACACTCAGGAAGGTGAGGAAGAAGGTGAAGAAGCATTGTTTGTGTCTTTATGTTACATATATTGATGCATTGTTTGTGTCTTTAATGCTGATTGTGTGAAAATTTGATGGGTTTTTAGGTTATGATGCGACGAGCGAGTATGAAGACTACCCTAGATATGATGGAGCGGAGATGCCACATTCTGTGAGTTATATTTGTAAATCATAATTAAACTTAAACCGGTAATCTGGTGCTTTTAATTTGAACTATTATTTATGTTTTTTTATTATTGAAATGTTCGGTCATGCTGCTTATTATCTCTAGTACTAGTCAACATTACCAGTATCCTTCACCATACTATCAGTCACCCTGACCTTCAAATGCACCATACAGTGTTAACTAATTAAGCTCCAGCATCAAAAGGAGAAGCTGTCTCTACCTCATCTTAGTTACTTAAAAAAAGATTTATATGCAACTCACAAATTTCTGCAGCGACTATGCTGATTTAATGATTCTGTTTTATATATGCATTGCTTGTGTCCTTATGGATCAGTTTGTACATATATTAATGCATTGCTTGTGTCCTTATGTTACACTCAGGATGATGAGGAAGAAGCTGAAGAAGGAGAAGAGGGCTTGAGTAAATGTATAGGGAAGGAGTTGAAGAAACTTCTGTAGTGTCATAGCTATTGTAAATAATTTATGTAAAAGTTTGTAAACAATTTATGTATCTCTCTACTATTTTGGTGAATGTATAATTTAAATATAATAGGATTTTTTATTGAAATATAATTAGATTGTGTTGAATATGAATATAATGTTTTGTTATTCAATATTGTGTATAAGCATCCAAAGTAGATTCTGCAAAAAAAAACACTGTAGCAAGTATCCTAGACGAAAATTCCGTCTAGGATGCTCAAATTCCGTCTAGGATACCTTTTTTAAAATTAAAAAAAAATAGAAAACCAATTTCCGTCTAGAATAATCATTCTAGACGGAAATTTCTGTCTAGAATAATCATTCTAGACGGAAATCTTTTCCGTCTAGGATGCATTATTCTAGACGGAAATTTCCGCATTCTAGACGGAAATCTTTTCCGTCTAGGATGCATTATTCTAGACGGAAATTTCCGTCTAGAATAATCCGTCTAGGATGTATTCTAGAATTATTCTAGACGGAAATTTCCGTCTAGAATAATCCGTCTAGGATGTATTCTAGACGGTTTTGAATTCCGAAAATTCCATCTAGAATGTATTTTAGACGGAATTTCCATCTAGAATAATACATCCTAGACGGAAACTTTCTAGACGGGTATTCTAGACGGAATTCCGTCTAGAATACCCATCCTAAATTCCGTCTAGAATACCCATCTTAGACGGAATTTTGAGTATCCTAGACGGAATTTTCAACGTCTATAATTAGCCGGCTAAAGTATCATACGCGCGCCACACTGAAGTTTATCACTATACAAGAAACTACTATGTACAATTTAATATAGTAGATTTGTGAAGTTATAACTTATAAGCTAGTAAAAATTACAATTGACTAATTGATAGTTCTGAATGTCCAGCTCATGCTGCGATTTTCAACGTCTAACGCTATTTAAATTGCATTTTCTTTCCCATCTTTAAAAAAACGCGCAAAACTTCTATTATAGTATCTTTTAGCCTTTTGATGACCAACAGGACAGCCACGATATATATATACAGCAAAATTATCAATAATTAAATGTTAAAAGAGGAAATCAGCAACAATTAAGTATCTTGAATTAATTCTAGACAAATTGTGGTATTAAACCAAATCCACCTTTATTCTGATTTGAGAAGAGCTGGTTCCACAACAAAAGTTTTGTTCCTTTTATTCATAATTCTTGGACATCTTTTCAATGTGAAGGTAATCCTGCAGATATTTTTATTAAAAAGCTGAATATTCTAAAGAGGAGAATTAAGTGGTGGAGAAAACATATATATGGATCCTTATTCTCTAGAAAAGAAAATTTGCTATCTAAAATCAACTCTTTTGATTTAATTGAAGAACAAAGACTTTTATCTTCAGCTGAGTTGAATGAGAGGAAGTCTCTTTAGTCATGTTTTAATTCTATCATCCAAGAAGAAGAAACGTATTGGTCACAAAGATCTCGTATACAATGGCTAAAAGAAGGGGATGCAAACATTTCTTTCTTCCATAGAACAGCTTCTATTCATAAAAAATCAAATCACATAGTTTCTATAAATCACATGGGATCATAAATTACAGATAATGGAGAAATCTCTAAGGCTTTCCATGACTATCATTCGCATCTTTTTGGTCAGGAAAATAACAGTAATAAGAGATTTTTTATACCTTGATCAAATTCCAAATGTTTCAACTCTTGAGGCTACTTTCTCTGAATCAGAAGTCAAACATGCTGTCTTTAGTATGAATCCAAATAAGGCACTAGGACCAAATGGTTTTTCTTTACTTTTTTACCAATCTTTTTGGGATTTACTTAAAAGTGATATTGTTGATCCCATGAACTTTTTTGGTTAGAATCCTTCATCCCTTCAAAGAGTTAATAGAGTCCTAATACTCTCATTCCAAAAACAAAAGAAAGCTCCACAGTCAAAGATTTTCGGCCTATCAATTTGATTAACTGTATCTTCAAAATCTTCACGAAAATCTTAGCTAATAGATTAGCACCTCTAATAAAGGATCTAGTGGCTCCTACTCAGTCTGCATTTCAAAAAAGCAAATCAACCCTTGACTCTGTCTTAATTGCAAATGAGATGATTCATTTTTGTTCTAAGAGGAAAAAAGAACTGGCCATGTTTAAGATTGATTTTGCTAAAGCTTTTGACTCAATAAGCTGGAATTTTCTAATTAATCTGCTAAAGGCTAGAGGTTTTGGAGATAAATGGTGCTCTTGGATTTATTATATTATATCTTCTTCAAACTGTACAGTTCTTGTTAATGGATCTCCCTCCAGGCCTTTTAATTGCAAAAGAGGTCTTAAACAAGGAGACCCCCTATCCCGTATGTTATTTAACATATAAGTTGATGTCTTAAGCAAAATGATCATGTACAATGTGGATGATGGTTTATTATCTAGCCTGCACATTAAGGAACCTCTCAATCATATTAGAAGCCTAAAATTTGCAGATGACACTTTAATTTTTGTGAAAAGTACCTACAGAGATATATCTTCCCTAAAGGCTATTCTATATATTTTTAAAGATATCTCAGTTCTGGCCATTAACTACTCCAAATCATCACTAATATATTTTGGTAGTATGTATATATATAATATGATATATTACATATGTATATATGTATATTTATAATTGATATGTATATATATATATATATATATAATATATAGTATTATATATATATATATATATATATATTATATATATATATATATATAATATATATATATATAATATATATAGATAGATATGATATATATACATATTTATAATATGTATACATATGTACATATGTATACATATGTAACACTGTGTGTACGTATATATGTATAATATGTACACACACCAACAACACACACACACTATATATATAATATATATATAATATATATATATATATATTTTATATATATATATATATATATTTATATATATATATAATATATATATATATATATTATAACATACATATGTATACATATGTACATATGTTGTACAACATATGTACCTTATGTTATACATATATACATATGTACATAGTATAGTATAGTATATATATATATATATATATATAATATATTATATTATATAATATATTATTATATATATACACACGTACATATATATATACATATGTATATATGTATACATACATATGTATATATGTATACATAAATATGTACATATGTATACATATGTATATGTACATATGTACATATGTGTACACATATGTACATATGTATACATATGTACATATATATATATGTATATAGATATATACATATGTATACATATGTACGTATACATATGTACATATGTACATATGTATGTTAGCCCTTATGTTTTGATGATGTTTTACAACCACCATTAACGGTACTAATGGCTTATTGAGTGCAAATGTAGTAAATTCTGTTATCAAGCTTGTTAGTACCATACATGGAGAATTGGATGGAATATACGCTACAACGATGATATTCAAAGGAGGAGGAGGCATAGTAATGAAGCAATGTTATTTCAAGAACAACAAATTCATATAAACGCTTCATCCAAACTCAAGCTATATCAAGACTTAAGAATTGTATTCTATGTGAGGATATTAGCTAGTTTTTATTCTCTCTCTAGTATTAGAATGTAGGCAAAGAGTTATTGATTTCACTTGAAGCTATTGGGACTCACACACACGTTTTCATACTTATGCTTTTAAGCGTTTTTCACAAAATACTATTTTTCACAAGTATGAGGACCTATCTACAAAATTCTTTTTTCAAACAATTTGGTTTTTAGTATTAAAAACATTTTACAAAGTTTCATAATTTTCAGAGGTCAAATAAATATTTTCTAAATATTTCTGTTTGAGTCAAAATACTGTTCTGGATTTTATCAGAATGCGGTCGACCGCACCGGTCGACCGCACTTAAGATCATTCGTCACTGGGCGACAGAGAGTTTGTCAGTCGATCGGTGCGGTCGACCGAAAGATCGATTTTTCTATCGGTCGACCGCATCGGTCGACCGATGAAGTCTTTGTTTGTTTCTTTATTTTTAGACCTGCTCGCGGTCGACCGGATTTTTCGTCGGTTGACCGAATTCTTTCTTTCGGTCAACCGAACGTTCTGTCGGTCGACCGAAAATCTCTTCGGTCAACCGAGAGCTTTTTCAACGGTCGGTTGCCTGGGTTCCTGTTCTATCCTTCCACTATGTTTGGCACAGTCTGTGGTACAGTCTGATAGAAGATTATTTCCTCTTTGAGAAGATTGGGTTGTGATTTTAAAATAATTAGTTTCTCCTATTTAAACCTATACCCCTTCACCTTCTTTTCTGCCCTAACTTTTGCAAAACCAAAGAGACGCTGTTCTTCCTGAGAAAAAATTTCAAAACCTGTTTCTCTGTGTTTTGTGTGTGTTCACCTCCCAGTTCCCAGCTTCAATGTATTCTTTCTATTTGTCATAGGGGCTTTGTAAAGAGAGAGTCTTGCACCATTTCTACTATTTTGTGAGTGTGATCTTGTGTAGATCAACTGTGAGGGAGTGTGATCTGTTGAGATCAAACTGTGTAGTGTGAGATCACGAGGGGATCGCTGTGTAGACGAAGTTCCGATTTATAAACCGGGTGTGTAGTGGATTTCTCCTCGAGAGTGGGGAGCGGGGACGTAGGTCAGCGGACTGAACCTCGTTAACACATCGCGCGTCAAAGGATAACAATTCCTAACCCTATCTCATTTACTTTGATTGCATTAGAATATTGTGGTTTGCTTGTCTTAATTTTTATTGCATAATTAGAGCCTCTTGACCCTAATCACCCCCCTCTAGGAATTCGCATCTAGAATGTATTTTAGACGAATCTGCCATGCTAGAACATAAACTAATGCCTAGAAGACGGAAACTTTCTAGACGGGTATGTCTAGAGCGGATTCCGTCTAGAATACCATCCTAAATTCCGTCTAGAATACGGCCATCTTAGAACGGAATTTGAGTATCCTAGACGGAATTTTCAACGTCTATAATTACCGGGGCTAAAGTATGCATACGCCGCTACACAGCTGAAGTTTATTCAGCTCTACAGAA